TATCTATCTATCTATCTATCTATCTATCTATCTATCTATCTATCTATCTATCTATCTATCTATCTGTCTGTCTGTCTGTCTGTCTGTCCTATCTATCTATCTATCTATCTATCTATCTATCTATCTATCTATCTATCTATCTATCTATCTATCTATCTATCTATCTATCTATCTCAGGTAGCTGATAGGGTTGGTTGTACCTGAGGTGGACACACACACCTGAGCGAGCGACAGATAGACAGAGAGAGAGAGAGATGTACACAGTGGTCCTGCTCTCCTCCTCTCTGTTTCTCCTGCATGTGACCTGCACGCCTCAGATTCACGGTCACCACGGGTAAATACACACGCAGTTGGTCTGCAGTGTCGGGGAATGTCAATTCTCATGCTCTAAGGTCTCAGGGGTGAATATAAGGTTAAAGGTCAACACATATAATAGCAGCTAATTACATCAGACTGTCATGTAAAGGTTAGAACTGATGGACAGCAAGTTTTTGATACAAAAATAAGCATGCAATTGTCTTTCCCAGCATTGTATGTAACACGCACACACAGATAAACACATAATAATAAAGTTATATATTATTATTATAGTTATATATTATTTATTAAAAACAATATAATTTATATAAATACAAAATTAATTAAAAATAATTTTTAATTTCTGCGAGTCAAGATGTGATCATGCAAGTATAGTTTTTTTTTTTTTTTTGAAAGATTAATGCTTTTATTCAGCAAGGACACATTAAATTGATCAAAAATGACAGTAAAGTCATTTATAATGTTACAAAAGATTTTTTACTTTAAAAAAAATGCTGTTCCTTTGAACTTTCTATTCTTCAAAGAATCATAAAAAATTTGAGCAGCAAATCAGCATATTAGAATGATTTCTGAAGGATCATGTGACACTGAAGACTGGAGTAATGATGCTGAAAATTCAGCTTTGAATCACAGGAATAAATTACATTTTAAAATATATTAAAATACAAAACTGTTATTTTAAACTGTAATAATATTTCAAAATCTTACTGTTTTACTATATTTTTGATCAAATAAATGCAGCCTTGGTGAACATAAAAGTCTTCTTTCAAAAGCAAAACGTCCATATTATAGTGAATTATATACAGTATAAGCAGTAGGAGTGTGTTTGTGTATAATTGTGTGTCTGTGTGTGTGTTTCAGGAGGAGAGTGTGTGTTGGAGATGCTTGGAGTCGTCGTGTGTCTTACAGCACAGAGTCGTTTCTTCAGCCCGTACACAAACCCTACATCACCATGTGCCAAAACCACCGCATGTGTAGCACGTACAAGTAAGAACACAAAAACAAATGAACATACACATTATACTGCATAATATATCAGCGTTTCACTGGACTGTATGTTTTACAGGACAATCTACAGGGTTTCTTACAGGCAGGTGAGCAGAGCAGCTCCTAATTTACACATTTACCCAGAATGCTGTCCGGGATGGCGACGCATGCATTCACACAACTGTAACCAAGGTAAACGGACGTCTGAAAGTGTTTTCCTGTGGATTTATACCTGCATGTGTATGTGTGTGTATTTACATATGTCTCTTTCTCTAGCGGTGTGTGAGCAGTCTTGTGCAAATGGAGGCTCGTGTGTAAGGCCTAATCACTGTGCATGTCCGAGAGGATGGACGGGACGATACTGCCAAACAGGTACTCAAAAACACACACTAATGTTCATTTAATGTTATGCTATGTTCATATACGTATATATATATATATATATATATATATACATATATACATATACATATACATATATATATATATATATATATATATATATATACATATACTGTATATATACACACACACGTCTGGTTTGCTATTCTTGTGGGGACTCTAAATAGGCGTAATGGTTTTACGTATTCTATTGCCCTACACCTAAACCTACCCCTCACAGGAAACTTTCTGCATTTTTAGATTTTCAAAAAACTTCCTTCTGTGTGATTTATTAGCTTGTTTACCCGTGGGGACCTCAATTTAGGTCCCCACCGTGACATGAGTCCCCATGAGTCTGTGTGTATTCAGGTGTAAATCTTTATTTTTTGAAAAAAATTAAATAATAATAATACAAATAGTAATAAAAATAGGACATTTTATTTTTTTATTTAAAAAAAATATATAATTTTACATTTAATTTTAATTCTATAAAATTGTAATAAATGTATAAATAATTTCACAATTATATAAATATATAATTAGAAAAAGCTGTGAAAAGGTGGTTTGGAGGGGTGGAAAGTGGTCATGAAAAGCTTAATAAAAAATACTTTTTATGAATTTATTTAAGATTTTATAATAAAAATGTTTAAAGACTTTCAAAAGACGTCTTTCTCTCTCAGATGTGGATGAGTGTAAGGAAGGTCATCGCTGCTCACAGAAGTGTGTGAATACGGTGGGGAGTTATCGGTGTGTGTGTCAGGACGGATTCAGTCTGGCTGAAGATGAAATAACATGTTCAAGAATTCCTGCTCCCTCCCCGCTGCCCGCCGGGGCTCCAAAAGCAGATGCTGGTAAGACATGTATACATTATCATCAGCCGCAGACATACTGATGCAGAGACCCATCATCCACACTGCCTTAACAAACTCAGAGTATAACATTTTAGTTTTTGCAAATGAATTCATTTAAATGAGATTTATTTTACTTTTAAATATATAATTGTATTTACAATATATATGAATTTTATATACATTTAAATTATTTTAAATCATTAAAGCATAAGATTATAGAACAAGTTTGTCCAATTATAACATTTTATTTTTGATAATTAATTTTTAATTAGATTTATTGTTTTATTGTATATTTAAATATATATTCATAAATATATTTGTATTTAAGTATAATTATATTTATATACATATATTTCATATTTTAATTAAAGGCATTAAAGCTTAAGTCTATAAAACAAACTTGAAAACAAACTTTTTCCAAACTTGTTAGCGAAAATGTATATGTTGCACCCCAGCTGGCTTATTTCTAATACACACTACAATTAGATACTTTGTTTGTGACAATATCAGGACATAAATTACATACTTTTAAGTATGCAATCATTGGGACACATTATACACATTGTAATAATACCACAGATCCCCTGTTTGCATAGATCTGAATGCATTAGCCTATAATTCATCATAAGTTCATACATTTATAAACTGCTGTGGCGGTTTTGGTCCCACATTTCTGTCCACGTTTCTGCAGCTGAAAGTGTGGGAAGAGGACGCTCTCAGTTTCCCGTTTTCCATTGCACAAGGCATTGTGGGCAATATTAACCCAAAAAGCATGCACAGATGCATACTTCACAAATCCACTGGAAATCCCAGCACTTTTTATATACTGCTTTCAAATGAATAGAGACACGATAACTTCAGATACAACTTCAGATGAATAGTACATAAAAAACACAAAAGCAAAAATGGTATTAAGTGGTAATACATGACAGTGTCAGAAATGTGTGATTGTGGGTAATTGCGGGCTTTTATACGGCGGTATATGAGTGTGTTTCCCCTCTAGCGCCCCCTGCAGGTGGAGCCCTGACCAGCCTCACGGTTCATTATTACTTTTGGTACGCGCTATGCCACTCTCAACTCGTACCGTGAGTAATAGTGCACTGTGACTGGTGACCTCAGCGACAACATACAGACCAACCACCGAACCTGGCTGAAAAACCACCTCAAAACCACAATATCAGACCACCTGAACATCCAGCAGCTCATTCAACAGGGGCACGTGGGTTCTTTGTTAAGAGCATAATATCACTCCACAGATTGTATCATCTTTCTTTAACAGATCTTGACAATAGCCCCCAACCCCCAGATTTTTACCTGTCCTTTTTATACACATTTGTAATATTTTATGAGTGTTATTTTAATCCATTCTATATATTGTAGTAAAAAAAAAAAAAAGGTTTCCACTGAAGCACAAGATGTTCTTTTAGACAATTCACACTGAAGAATCAGATTTTGATCATCAGGTTTTGTTAATGTCACCTTGAGTGCTGCTGTTATTAAAGCAATAATATTTAATAAATACATATTTAATAAATTGTTGAATAATTAAAAAATAAAATACATTAATAAATAAAATAATTATCTAAAACAATCTGATAATTAAATAAATAAATCATTTCCATTATTTTCAATAAATAAATAATTTAAAATAAATTAAATAATTAAATAAATAAAATATATTAATATTTTAAATAAATTATTTAATAAATACATTATTAACTCAAATAATTGAATGAACAAAAGCATTATTTCTTTAATAAATATAAAATAATTTAATTAGATTAAATTTTCTATGCAGTTAATGAAATTTGTATTTTTCCAATAAATAAATACAAAGAACAAAAATTTTCACTAGTGGTCTCAGACATTTGGAAGTGCATATCAAAGTATTTGCATCATATTCTTGCCAAACCTCAAACTTTCCCCATTTATCACCCCCTCCACTCATTTCATTCTCTCTCTCTCTTTCTATTTCAATTTATGTCTGTCTTTTTATTCATCTGTGCTCTTTGGTCTGCTCTGGGATCGCTTTGGATATTAATCATGGATTCATGAAAGCAGAGAACATGCAGAAATATAACGTAAAACAACAGTGCTTTCTGGAAGTCGTACAAAAGCTTGCAGTCAGTTTGTGTTTTTGAATCTTGCCCAAATAAATGCATTATTTATGTTCAAAGCCTGGATCTTAATACGTAAAAAATAGAGTTGTGTGCTGCTTTACAGGTTTTAATTAAGGCTGAATATCAGTGTGTGTGTGTGTGTGGTCCGTCTCTGATTTCTGTGTGTATTCCTTTTGTTCTTAAAGGTGGAGGTTTGGGATTGGTGGCAAACGTTACCGAAGAAGTTCAGATCCTTAAAAACAGAGTGGAGCTCCTCGAGCAGGTCAGACAACCACACACACACACACCCTCAGGACACATCCTACTTCAAACGACGGGAAACTGTAGTGCGTTTGCCAAAACAGCTTATTGGTTCAAAGACTTGCTAATAGTTGAATTAAAAGCAGTAGTCAAGCTCACACATCACAGGCTCTGAAACATTTAACACTGGCAGATACAGGGATCATTAACCGGTTTTGCGGTTTACAGATATTTCTGGTAAATAACAACTAACACTTACTACACCCACTTATTACCTCACACAATTTAAACAGAAACAAAACAATACTAGCTTACTGTAGAATATGCACTGTACAAACTGCCTATAATTTCAATTAAATAAGGGTGTGATGGTGTGCAGTGTTATTTTACCATCACTGATATACTTTATAGTTTATATTATAGTTATAGTTTATAGATATATTATAGTTTATGTTAATGTTTTGAATTAGATTTTTTTATATTTTCTGTTTTCATTAGAATTTTAGTTGAAGGTTTAGTAATTTTACAGTTTAGTGTTTTTTTAGTAGGTCTATATAGGTTTCGTTCATTTTTATTTATTCACTTTAGTTCAATTTAATCTGAGTTAAAGTACTTCAAGTTATTGTTATTATTAAACTAAACCCCATAAAAATTTTTTTTATTTCAAATAAATATATATATTTTTAAATAGTTTTAGTTTTAACTAACTATAATAACCCTGGCAGTATGTAAGGATAAAACAGTAGTGTGCATAATAAATTGTTCAGAATATGATTTTTTAAATATGGTTTGTTAGTTAATTTAAAAACCCTGTAGTGCACTTGCATAGTTTGGCGATTGTAGCATGTCATCCATGCATACAGAAAATCTGTGCTACACTATACATACTACAGACTGCAAAAGTAGTGCGAGTAGTATAGTAGTATGCTGTTCTAAACATATCTTACTAACACTTTATAATAAGGACTCATTCATTAACAGTTACCAAACCAACAAGCAGAATCTTTTTTTACAGCATTTATTCATCTTTAAGTTATTAAAATTACAATTATTCATGCACGTTCACAGTGCATTAACAACTTTTGATTTTAAAAATGAATTGGTAAATGTTAACATTAAGATTAATCAATGCTGTAGAAGTATTGGTCATTGTTAGTTTATGTTAATTACAGTAAGAACTACTGTATTAAACCTTATTCTCATATTTGCCATTTGTAAAGTCACAAATTCAGTGTCCCCAAATATAAAAATACCTTCCTCTCTCTCTCTCTCTGTAGAAACTAGAGATGGTTCTGGCTCCCTTCACCACGCTCTTCCCCTTGGATGGTATGGGAGACACTAACAGCTTCCTGCCCGAGAGGACCAACTTCCTGTCGCATTCTCTGCAGCAACTAGACCGCATCGACTCGCTCAGTGAGCAGGTCGGGTTCCTGGAGGAGCGTATCGGAGCCTGTAAGCATATATTTATGTGTATGAAATGCATCTGTACAATCCGTTTCAACTGATAAAATAACAGAAACATCTTTATTAGGTGCCTGCCAGGAAAACTAGACGATCAAAGATGGGCTGCATCCTCAAGTGAAACCAATAGCTGAGAAGTCTAAATGAACAACCGCAGCACTGAGGGCCTGAGCCCTGTAAAAATGTTCAATCCACTCAAAAAACATATATAGGAAAACACAATATCAAACACACAAACTCCTTTTGGCCATTGGAGTTTTCTGGCCCATGAGCTGGAGCTTTGATTGTTTCGTAATATTTTTCAGTGTATTTCTTTCATTTAATTCTTGGTGTAAGTGCAGCTGTACGGTCTCTCCATGTTTAAGTCTGAGTTAAGAGAAATGTAAATTTATGTATTTATAAGTCCATGTTCTTCTCCCGAGTATTGCTATTGGGAAAACAATACAAAATTGTATCACTTTTTTAAACACTGTTATGTTTCAATTTTTGTAATAAAACTATTTAAACTTCGAGTGTTTCTGGAGTTTGTGGTTTCGGAAGATTACAATTTATACAAAATTGAATATCTGTGGTTTATACGATCTGTAGTTTGGAGAAAAATAATGTTCCAGAAGAAAACCTGTTTTTACTATGGAGCTACAATAGTTTATTGCATTATTAATATGCAAATGAATGCATTTACAAAATATGCAAACAGAAATTCAAAAACTCATAACTTAATTCACCTTACTTTTAGGTTATTACTGTTTGCAAATATATAAACTTGTTAGGGTTAGGGAATGTGAATTGAGCATTTGTGAATCATATTTTGTAACTAGGGTTGTGACAGTGAGGAAATTTTCCCACCGGTTAATCGACGTGTGACAGCATGTGACGGTATCACCTGCGGGGGCATTTCCTCTTTTCCTCGCTTTCCTTCGCTTTTAAATAGCTTGCAAAAGCAGCGTGCGCATTTTACTTTCACTTTCAAATAGCGACAATACGGCGTAAAGCAATTGTTCTTTTTAGTTTGTTTGAATTTTCCCTCTTTTCCTCTTGTGATGCGACTGTCGTTCGGCACGCTGCATTGAGCAGCCGCGTTCAGTTTTTAATTGTAGTGTCTGTTCTTTTACTGAACTAAATGATTTGTATTACTATAAAAAATCTAAACGACGGTGGGGGTCGGTGCTGCGGTGGGCAAGTGACTTAACCAATGTTGCAGCTTAACAACGGTATCGTCACGATATGTCAGCACCGTCTATCGCGGCAAGCATATTTGTAACTTGATTAATTAAGCCAAATATGCAAATGTTCAAACTAATTTCCATTCACAGAATATTTTTGTGCATTTCAAAAGTGCATTTTGTACATATAAATAAGGTTATGAATTTTAGGAATTCACTGTTTGCAAATATAAAATCTTTTATTAGTGAAAGTGAATAAGCCAAGTATGAAAATGCACAACAAAATTTACATTCACACAATATTCCTGTGCATTTGCAAATCATATTTTGTGAATATGAATTAGAAGAAAGTAGAAGTCTGAGAGTTGCTTTTTGGAACTATATTAACTTTTTTGTGAATGTGAATTAACTTTCACATTTGTCAATAACATTTTGTTAATACATGAATTCTGATACAATTTTAGCTCCATACTTTAAGTGTGAATCGGAACATCTTCAAATGCATAATATTTATCTATTTGTGTGTGTACATATATATAAAATTGCAAAAAAGTAATGTTTACTTTTGAGTAAAGGATCTGAGTAGGTCTACAGTCAGTATAATTGTGTGTGTATGTGTGTATATATATATATATATATATATATTTTTTTTTTTAATTCCAACACAAATAAAATGCACATCTAAAAATGCTAATATTTTTCTTTTAGGTTTGTCTGTAGTAATCGTACGGTATGGTTTACGGTACGGTTTAGATTAGGCCAAGTAAATGTGTGTAAAAAAATAAATAACTAAAAAACGGAAATAAATTGATAGACAGACGACAAAGGTCAAGAACAAATTCTACCATTCCTATTGGAAAAACAGACGATTTATTGACTCTTTGTCCTAGATGTTCTTAACACAGGTTGCATCCAGAATCTACCACAATCAACATGTTTATGTATAATCATCGTCTTATATAAAAAGTAATTTGAGTAAAGGATCTGAGTAGGTCTACAGTCAGTATAATTGTGTGTGTATGTGTGTATATATATATATATATATATATATTTTTTTTTTAAATTCCAACACAAATAAAATGCACATCTAAAAATGCAAATATTTTTCTTTTAGGTTTGTCTGTAGTAATCGTACGGTATGGTTTACGGTACGGTTTAGATTAGGCCAAGTAAATGTGTGTAAAAAAATAAATAACTAAAAAACGGAAATAAATTGATAGACAGACGACAAAGGTCAAGAACAAATTCTACCATTCCTATTGGAAAAACAGACGATTTATTGACTCTTTGTCCTAGATGTTCTTAACACAGGTTGCATCCAGAATCTACCACAATCAACATGTTTATGTATAATCATCGTCTTATATGACTTTACAGATTTTACAATGGGCTTTAGCTCATTTGTGTGTCAGGTCACCATACAAACACATTCAGCACACACAATGGACACACACACTCATACACACACATACACAAGGCTGCCCATGAAATGTCTGACAGGTTCGTCTAACGGATCTTATAATCAGAGCGTTTACAAGCTTCACCTGTTGTACATCCTTAATAGCTTTGGTGAAAATCACACAACACCTTGTACACACTGTTTCGTGAACGCAGCACGGTTTTCAGTCGGCAGGGCAAAACTGACATTGAAAACAGGGCTTATAAAATCTGTGACCGAATACACAACATAAAAGCGGGTTCAAAAATTGCATTGGTGTTTAAATTTGAACTAAATAATAACAACAACAACAGAGCCTTATTTGGACATTTAGCAAAAACCAAACTGAACATTCGTTCAAAGCAAAATGTCTCTCAGCTCAACAAGCCATTATAATGTGAAACGTACAATTCAGTCCTCTTAAATAATATTGTACATATTAAATTAAGGATGTTATACATTCTTAACAAACAATAAGAACTGCAACATCAAGCATTAAATATAAGATTCAACGATGCAATGCGATTAGAAATGTCTTTGAATGTAATTACAAATATTCATCTTAATTCACTGCCATAAGTGGTCAATACAGTCTGGTTTAATAAATATGTGTTAAATAATTGATCATTTTAAGATTAAATTATGAATGTCATTTTCAAATATTTAAATATATCTATTTTTATATGGATTTCCTTAGTTAAACTTAAGGTTGAGGATAAAGTTTAATACCTGATCTATGAGCAGCCCTCACAAATAAGCGCATGACCATTTTATGATCATCTTTCCATGTCTCATGTCAACATCCACTTAAAAATATTACAAACCTCAGCAATTTACTATATAATAATTCCAAGGGACAATTTTACAGCAGGTTTTGAAAATAAATTGTAAATGTAAAATAAATAGATTTTCGAGTTGGTCCTTCAAAATCTGAATAATAATGGCTCTTAAACACATTTGAGTTAAACTGATAACACCATAGTCTATGTAATGTGTTAGATAATAATTTTTTCGATTAGTTATTATAAGAATAATTCCTTTGTAAATGGTTTTTAGTTTTAACAAAAAGGGTTGAACAATGTTAAATACATTTTTATAAATGAAAAAGTCATTTTGTAGCCTGAAAACAAACCAAAACAGGAAAGGAGCAAAGCACTGAACTAAAGTCAACTGGAACGTATTTCTCTCCTAAACGCTAATCAAACAATCCTGATCACAGATCAATTATCAATAGTGTGTTCCACAATATTCTACCTTTATACGCAGCCAGCGGCTGAGACACTTTGGACACTTGGCACAGGAGAAGCCGCACTTGATAACGATAACAATGGAAATATTCGTTACAAACTAAACCTTTAAATGGCAAAAAGGAAACAGAACTAATAGTCAGCGCACAATCTGTTTGCGTTTTCTGAATCCTTGGTTGACACCACACAAAAAGCTTTACTCTGGAATGTATAAGACATTTCCAAATCAATCTTTTTGGTCAATAAATCAAAGTTATATAAAACAATAAAGGGGCGTATTTAAAGAAAAATACTCTTGCATAAGACTTGCATACGAAAACAAACAAACAACAACAACAACAAAAATGACAGAAGCAAAACGAATTGCAAGTCTGTCACTGATTTCCCATAATGCAAGCAAAGTACCTCGAGAAAAAGCGGCCTACACAAATGAACGAAACGAGTCTTTGTAGATCACTGAAAGGAAGAGAAACATAGAAAAGGCATGCATGTCGAACGCACATCCACAATGTTCTCAGGAAGTCGCTCCAAAACTCAACAAAGCAGTCCGAGCCGAACCAACATCAAAGAGGACGCAGTTAAAGCATCACGCCAGAAAAAAACCCGCCGTTCCGCCGCTTAGCACCCCCTGGAGTCCAACGGGAGATCAAAACTAGGCTAAGATAACATCTGCTATATGTACTGTAGTCAAGGTGAATGTATGGACATGTGTTCCTGCTTCATGAGGACGTCGGAGAGGATATTAAAGCGCCTGGTTGTCATGATTACCACCACCACAACCACAACGACGTAGTCTCAAGCCATCCTTGTTGTCGGAGCGAATGAAAGGGCGCTCAGTGGGTGGATGGCCCGTTGCTCTGCGAGGTTTGGCTGGAGATCTCCATGAAGGCCGAACGCATGACGCTGAACGATTGCTCGGAGAGCGGCGTCACATCATCTGCCGTCAGTCCCTTTGTCTCGATCTTTGGAAGAATTTTCAGAGTGATGGTTCCTGTTTGAAGAAATGCAGAAATGTTTATTATATCTATAATCGTCATCATCATCCTCATCAACAACATGCTCTAGTTTCTATGGAAGTTTGTTTCCACCACAGGATAATAAACAAATACATATATGGCGACTTTTTATCTAGGGCTGGGCGTTCGGTATCGATAATTATTGACATTTTTTATACTTTTTCAAAACAAAAAGCAATAGAATATTTTTTTTTTTACATTTAACCACTGTATTTATAATTAACACAATTTATTGAGACAACCAACAAATATTTTTTGTTTGAACAATCAAACACAATAAAAATTGAACAAATATTTCATTTCTAATGTTTTATATGCAGATTAAATAGGCCTTTATTGTATAGGTCTAATTGTCTCCCGAGGCCACAGGAGGGCGCAATGAGAAAAATAATGCAGCGCATTTAAATTGTCAAGGCAAGGAAGTAACTCTATAAAAACGTGCATTATGTCTAAATTAACTCATAAAAATCTAATAATTTCGTAAATTGCATAAACAATTATGAACAAAACAGCATCATGTATTTATGCATTGCTTAATCTAAAGAGACGACGTGCCATTCACACAGACTGCATTAAAAAACATATGAGACACAGTGAAAAGGAATAAACCTGCACAAATTCGTGACGTGTTTTCTAAACGTGTTTTAACTTTGC